TGCGGAAAATTGTCACCGTCACTGTATAAGCATAGAGGTAACTCTAAGACTAGAAGGTCCCGAAGAAACGAGCTCTACTTTTTGGCTAAGCTCTGTTACTATCTTCGGTCCCAAGCTAATCGATTCACTCCTCGAAACATAGGAAATTCCACTAACCCCTCATTTTATCTGTCAAACTTTCATAGCGAATCAAAACAAATATAGAATTTCGACTAGAATGGGGTACGTTAATCGATTTGCTTTGGACCAATAGGCTAGTCAAGTAGTGAGCCAATTCAAATCGATAGTTTAATATTGATTGTTGGTATAAGTTTGAGCTACTTTGACCACATTTTTTTGTGTAAAAAAAATTGTTTATTTAATTTTCAATAATACACATTCAAACAGATAAAATATTAAATTATTCTTCTAGATTTAGAACTCACCTACATCGATTCTACTATTAACGTTGACATTAATAAAGTTGATGTATTTTATGAAAATTTTAAGTAAATTGATTCTTGTCCAAGGGGTGGTCACTCTACACACTTATTTTACGCCAACTTTTATTCTCAGTGTGCTTGAAGTGTGCCGCGCTGTGCCGACAGTGCCAGTCATCGGGCTGACTTTGTTTGTGAATAATTACATGCTTGGCAACCCGGTATGTTTTGTTTTTCTTGTCTAGAACATAATACCGGGAGTTCGACGGGGAGTACGCTATTCGAGAAACGGAATTTAAGCTGCGTCCCGCTTCGCAATGAATATGCCAAGATTTGCAAAATTTGCCAAGATTTGCGAAACGTTGTTGCAACTTTCTATGCTAAATGATGTCCGGTGTAGCAGCAGCAGCACTTGCCGTCGTGGAAACAGTATGGTGACAAATAACAGCGCAGTATAACCAACAATCAATACGAAACTAACGATTTTAAATTGGCTCATTACTTGACTAGCCTATTGGTCCCAAGCAAACGATTAACGTACTCCATTCTAGTCGAAATTCTAGTACTACACAATGTTTGTTTTGATTCGCTATGAAAGTTTGACAGATAAAATGAGGGATTATTGGATTTTCCTATGTTTCGAGGGGTGAATCGATTAGCTTGGGACCGAAGATAGTACCAGAGCTGAGCCAAAAAGTTGAGCACGTTTCTTCGGGACCTACTAGTCTTAGAGTTACCTCTATGGTATCACGACGAGCAGCTCCAGCCGGATAGCATTTCTGGCTGCTAAAATAATTTAGCTTGAGTATTGTCCTTCTAGCATAGCATAGCATAGCATAGCATAGCACAAACCAGGTTGCACAATGTCGTAGGTGGTACGAGCTCTAAACTGTTGTTAAGAAGGAGACCCACCTTCATCCGTTGCTGTTAGATAGTAATTTGTGATAAATTACTACCTCCTAGATAAAGGATGTGTCTCCCTCCAACAGACCAGAGCTGCCCTGGCTACGTCCTTGCATCTGATGGGGAAAGGGGAGGAATTTTAGTCCGGCACTTACTTAAGAGAGATGCAGAGAACTCTACGACCCCTCATAAGTGTCACGGGAAGGGTGGATTTTTGTTAGTAGGGAGGGTAAGCCATAGGATACGCCCAGCCGGCGTTGCTGGCAATCGTTATATCAAGTATTTAATAAATAGAAGCTGTAAATAGTTTATCTGTCCATTGTTGCTGCATATTACCTAAACATATTATTCAAAACAGTCTTCAGATTTTGGAATTAAAAAACGTTATCAGCTCGATCCTGTTGCTCCTTTGCGCCTGAAAATGTTTGTTGATGCTAAACATATGCACAATTCATTCTGATGTGTAAAAGGTTATTAATAGTATGTAATTTAGCTTGAGCATTGTCCTTCTGGATCGAGGGGGGCGACACATCTAAATCTCAATTCTAGATGCTCAACAAATCTCACACTAGCGAAACAATCTTCGAAAAATCTTCAATCATTTCTCCCATCTACTTGCATCGTCCATCATCTTTTTGCAGGAAATCTTCAGAATCGTCATCAATCTTCTTTCTATGTACTCAGTGTGCATGCAGCTAACCACAGCAAAACACAATTTTTCCTGCATCGTAGATTGAGTCGCCCCCCTCGTTCTGGATATAAATCCACAGTCAGCTGATATATCTAGATAAATAACAGATTGAGCTTATGGAGCTGGAGGGTATCGTGCATCCGGCAGGAATAAGATTTTTACCGAGGATTAGAGCGATTTGATTTCATGGAGGAACATTTTCTTCATAACAATCGGTGATGTTAAGAATGTGGGACTGATTGAGTGGGGTATTGTTATGCATGCAATGTTGACCATTCGCAGCACAGTAATGAATTCACTAATTTTGGTCTTCTTCTTCTTCTTCGCATTTCAAGCTTATTGCTTATCGCATATTGGCTTATTGCGTGCTCTCAACTTAGTGTTCTAGATGCACTTACACAGTTATTGATTGAGAGCTTCTGATGCCTGTGTAGTATAATTAATTGTGTGGCAAGTACAGTCATGGCCTAATCCCAGGGAAGTCGAGAAATTTCCCAACCCGAAAAATTCCTAGACCGGATCGGAAATCGATCCTAGCCAACCCCAGCATGGTCTTGCTTTGTAGCTGCGCCTTTACTGACTGAGCTAAGGGAGGCCCCCATTTTTGTATGCGCCGTTATCCGAATGTGTGAACGCAGCATCTTACGCGGAATAATGACACTCTTTAGGATGTGCGCTGAGCTGACTGTCTTTTGAAGGATCCATGGTGGGACTAGGCGAAAATTCACGGTTGTTGCGGTTTACAAAAATTTGATTGTGTCAACAACAATGATTGAATCAAATTTTGACGCAGGCGCAGAGATAGTGCAGTGCTGCCAGACCCTTTAAATAGCATAAACAAAATTAATCGTGAGTGCCAATGAGTGTGCTCATGTGCCCAAATCTGTTTTTGGTACACTGTGCGGAGTTACCATCCCCTTGACAATATCAGGCAGTAACGACATCTGCGCATAGCTTTTACGGCAATTTATCAATAGGGATTTCGTCAATGAGAATCGAGAAATGTGGCACGTCAGTTGTTACGTGATATTGATGAATGAATTTCCGTCCGTGATCTTCTTTAAATTCCAATGAATTTCTTTCAAGTTTCATGAACTTCTCCAAAGTTCCATGAACTTCTCTGAAGTTTAATGAACGACCATAGAGGTAACTCTAAGACTAGAAGGTCCCGAAATAACGTGCTCAACTTTTTGGCTCAGCTCTGGTACTCTCTTCGGTCCCAAGCTAATCGATTCACCCCTCGAAACGTAGGAAAACCCAATAACCCCTCATTTTATCTGTCAAACTTTCATAGCGAATCAAAACAAACATTGCGTAGTAATAGAATGGGATACGTTAATCGTTTGCTTGGGACCAATAGGCTAGTCAAGTAGTGAGCCAATTTAAAATCGTTAGTTTCGTATTGATTGTTGGAACTACTATGATGTTTCGTGACCATTTATGAGGTTTCGCGGACTTTGAATTTCCGAGAACTTCTCAAAATTTTCAATTTCTCTGATAATTTATGAACTTCTCTGAAGATTCATGACCTTGTCTGAAATTCTCAGAATTTCACTTACGTTCAGTAATTTTCCGTGAACTTTTTTGAATTTCGGTTCATTTATCTGGATTTTCTTCAGCTCTCTGTGATTCCATTAACTTTTTAAAAGTTTCGTGAACAATGGACTGTAGATTCATGAACTTGTTTTAAGTTCCGGGATTCCTTTCAAGTTCAGTGATTTTCTGTGATCTACTCTGGATTTCCGTTCACTTCTCTGAAAATCGCGATCTTCTCTAAAGTTTAGTGCAATTCTCTGAATATCTGTGATATGCTACGAATTCTTCGAAGATTCATGAACCTCTCCAATGTTTCAAGAACTTCTCTGAAGTTCCGTAAATTTCTATGAAAATCCTCGAACTTCCCTCAAAACTCTTGAACTTCTCTCAAGCTACTTTTGTGATGTTCCGTGAATTTGAATGATCGTTCGCTGAAATTTCAAGAACATTTCTGATATTTCATGAGCTTCTCTGACTTTTCGTGAACTACTCTGGAGTTTCGTAAACTTCTCTAAAGTTCCGGGAAATTCTTTGAGTGCTCCGTAAAATGATCTGCAGTTTTGCCAACTTCTCTTTTGTTCAGTGAACTTCTCTCAAATTCCGTCAACTTTTTCGTAAACTTCTCTCTAGTGCCGTAAACTTTCGGTGCACTTCTCTGAACGTCCGTGAACTTCTATGAATTTCCATGAAATTCTCTGAAATTTCATGAACTTCTCTGAAGTTCTGGGAATTTATATGAAGTACACGATACATCAGAAAAGTTTTAGGAATTAAAGAGCAGTTAGCGGATCGGAACACGATCCGATTTCATTTTTTGGTGATGAGTGAAGCCTAATGCAATGCTGCATTTTTCACTAGTAGCGCATGACAATAAGTATGAGATCTCGATAAAATTTCAAGACCCTAGAGTTATATATATTTTTTTATACATATGATGTTAAGAATATCGTTGGAATTTCCAGCGGTTTTTTGGTTTTTTATCAATGTTGAATGTGCCACATTTGAATGATTATAGGCACAGAAACAGATTTCTATAGCAAAGTCAGAATCTGGCCACTTCTTGACCTGATTTTGTTCAGTCTAATATTTATTTTCGTTTCTAAAATTCAAAGGAATTTTAGATAATATTATTGGCGAATAGACTGAGAATATATTGCATAAATTTTTTTCCTTGATTTTTTCCGCTGCCAGAGAAGCAGCAACGACACCCGGACCTATCAACCTATCAACTCATGGACTGGGGACCAACGAGTTTTCTTCCCTTCCGAAGGAAGGCGTGATCAAGAGATTTTATGCCTCAGAAAATCCCAACGGCGCCGACTGGGATTGAACCCAGGCTCTTCGGAGTGAGAGGCAGTCACGTCATAATATTTTAGTATTTTTATTTGCTTTAGAAAAAGGCCCCCATTGTATTGCAAATTTTAATATTTATTTAGCCTCGATACAAATCGGTTTCCGTTGCCATCACGTAGACTCAGCAGACCACAACATCCGCATTACTGGCATGGTTTAGCTCCTGCTTTGATCTGGTCGCAAACGGGAGCTAAAATCATGAGGAATATCATTAGACAAATCACACCGACGCCCTTGCCGACACCCCGACTCACAGTTTTTGGCCCAGTGGCTATCCGGACAGTTGGCGAAGATTCCTTGCATGATGCACTCGGTCAGCATGTACGCCAACGGAGGACACTTAAAGTTGTGTCCTTGAGATTGCTTCACCATCTCTGAGCTAGAGGCGCCGCATTCCTTCATAATGGGAATGGCCAATTCCCTGATGACCGGATCCTCTATTTGCTCACCCATTTTCAGCAATTCGGCCTCGTTTAAGGTGTCCCCGTTGATTACCCCGAGCTCAGTTGCATGGCACTCTAAGATGCACTGGTTTCAAGAAATGTTTAAGCATCGAAGGTAGAGATTTGAATTTCACATTTGCATTGAATTTTTAACGCACCACAATCATATTCGGCATGTCCTGGGATAGTTCCTGCTCGTACTTTTCCTTGCACGCTTGGATCTTTTCCATCTCAAGTGGACTGGGGATGTCGCAGCATTTTTGGATTTCTTCAGCCTGAAATATTAACTTAAAACGATTGACCCAATAAATACAACAAAATTGCCACTCACGTTCTTTTGGGCGTCGATGCACTCCTCGGCCTGGACAGGTGCCTGTAAAAATAGGTGTGTAACTTTTAACAATGTTGGAAAGTGGGTTTAACAATAAATACTTTATCCAATCCAGCCATCAGAGCCAGCAGGGCGTAGAATGCAAATCGGTTCATATTGAAGTGGTTTTTAATTTTCACTCTTTGGGAACAGACGATTGCTCAGTTTGTGAAGTTTATCGCAATGCAACAGTGTTTTATACCATTTTCGGATTCAATGAAGCAACGGAATAAACAAACATTGATAAAAGTCGTTTGGTGAAAGCTATTATTTGGATGCTTCCATCACGGTAGTATTCTATCAAATGATACTAAGGTGTGTAATCGACTGACTTCCGCTTTATCAATCGGTGGGTGAGCACAGTGCGCTTAGTTATTTATTATACATTTAAAACGTGTTGTAAATTTGTAGAGCGAAATGCTGATTTGCAAGAACACGTTACTCTACATGAGCTTAGGTTCTTCTTATTCGTGACTGTTATATATTAGCTGAAAACATACGTCTGTTCTGAATTGTTCCTTGAGCACTTCTACGTAATTTTCCATTTTTGCACTCGAATATTGTGTGGCAAGTAAAATGAGGTAAGTCCGAACTGTGCCTTATATATTTGAGTGGGTCACCCTGACATGGAAAAACACAAACTTTACCTCACCAAGCGAGAACAACCCTTATTTGGTTCCATTTCCAAACAACTGTGCAAAATTTTTAAACGATTGGTTGTAACCCAGCTTTCCGCATCGCGCTTGATATTTGTATGGAAATTAGTATGCATTTGCATTTTTATCCCTAGAGACCACAATTTTGTTTGAACCATGCTACAAATATAGTCCAGGAAGTGCCTAAGAACTTTTCCGAAGAAAGTATGGTGCTAGAATGTCTCTAAAAAAAGTTATAACTTTTCAAATATTTATGGTTTGAATTAAATGCTAAAAATCACCTTTTCTGCCAACACTGCCGGTGTACCAATGGGAGCAGAGTTGCGACCTATCACACTCACGTTCGTCAAACAGCTTATGGTACACTGAACGAAAACCTCCGCCAAATATTGTATGATTATTGATTCGATGGAGCCCTATAACACTAATCATTCGATATTCGGATGATTATCTTTTGCTGTTTCTTACACCTTATCCCATGAGTTTCATATGCGTGTCATCTTGATTTTGGAATACTAGAATACAATTTTAAAATGTTCGCTATCTGAAAACAAAACGAAAATTCATCAGTTATGCTAATGAAAATACGCCTAAAACTGAACGAAATTTACTTCAAAATTTACATAATTCATATGATGTTGAATTTTTCCCCAGCTAAAATGATTACTGCATGGTAGAAACATTTATAAAGACACTTTATTTTCCTTAAACAATAAAAAATTACACTTAAGGACAATATTGCTCAATATGCTAAACACCACCGGTGAAAGTCCTACGTGTTCATGTTGGAATTTGAACCAACCCGAATGGTTCCCGAGTCCATGGCATGCACCTTGTTGTAGGTGAGTTGCATAATGGTTTATGGTTGGACCAGGGTCAGGTGATGCAAGCGTTTTTGTCTCGGAGTTGTCCTCGTGCCCACGGGATACCTGTGCCAGAGAATACTGTTCCTTGTTGGCACGAATCCACTATTTGTTACGCTGCCGTTTCAGCACTCGTTGTAGTTCGTTATCCACCTGCTGGATCTGTTCCACATTGACGTCGATCAGGATATTGATTGGCAAGGTCGGTATATGTCTTCCTGTTGTTTCGTGCCCTGAGAAAATAAAATAAATTAATGTGGGAATCGGCATCGCTGGTGCTTTTCAAACTTTTGTAACTTTTACTGGTATTTGAAGTGAAAACACTTTCTTTTTGGATCGTTCTGTTTGGGAATAAATGAAGGCTATAGATCTTTCATAATAACGCGTTGCGAATTTGTTTATTACTTACCTGTTCGGATATAATCGAGGATATAATCAGGTAGTACACAAATTAAAGAAAGTTGTCTGACTAGCATGAGGACTAACAACATTTAACTTTGTAGTTCTAGTTCTTATCACACACCCTCACGAAAAATGAATGATTTTCGTTATAGGGTGTTTTGATCTATTTATCTGTTGCGTTTGAGATGAAGTTCTTTAGTTATGGTGTGCATACAAATATCAATCATGAAGGCATATACATATCAAAGCCATTATCATCTGCAAGCAGGACGATTCGCATTTGAAATAAGTAATCTGTGTCGTTTGCTTCTGTTGTCATTCGAAAACGAACCGATGGCATTACAGAGCACTTTGAATGACGATTCATTTGATTTTTGGCATGTATTTTCGTTCAGTGTAGTAACGCTTTGTACATTCCTATCAATGTGCTCGTCGAAGCTCTCTCAATGACCATCCATCAAGTTCTAGGCGAGTAAGAGAGGTGCACAGTCGGAAGAAGTGTTAGTTTGTTTACTTAAATGAACCATGCCCATTTTGTTATGGCAAGCTTGCTATAAGAAATGCTCCTCGTGTTTATTAGCGAAACTCACATCAAAGATTGATTAATTGCGTAGGAAATCAGTTTGGCACGGCATTTGTGACCAGCATACACCTTCCGGTCGTATGAAACAAGTCAAAAACCGTCCAAATCTGCAGATAAAATTTTTTGTTTTGAATTTCTGTATGGCAAAATAGTGATCTTTTCGTGAACATTAACGGCAAAGAACTCACCAACACTGGGAGACCGTGAGTTTCTGCCCACCTGTCATTTCCCATCTCGATTCCCGACAATCACGACACTCATCTGTGCTCGTATTGAAGCAGTTGCTACTTTGCTTGCTTATGTGAGTGTATTGGTGAGTGAGCCCAATAGCTTCCGTTTAATGTTGCCTGCTTTGTTTGTAACTCACACAGTCACGCGAACCGTGACAAACTTGGAATTCGTAGACATTGTTTCCATTTCTTCTGTCATTTCACTTCTTCTAATCATCGTACTGCAGAAGTCTGCACTGTTTTCGCTGTGCTTTTAATCATCAGCAGTGAGTGTAACGTTTTGCTTGTGAGCAGCGACCATTACTGGTGATTGTTGTTTGCCATGGCTCTACCTCTCACTGCGTGACAAAACGTTCTGTCAGCGATAGTCGGTTGATGCGTAGACGAGTGTCACGTGAGTGTCATGATATTTTGCATCACTGAATGGGAGTCAGATTCCAAACTGAAATTATTTCGGAGTTTCTTAACTTACCGATTTGGTATGTTCAGATGAATTATTTAATGACATTTCTCAATGTCATAATCTTAGTTAAAGAGCGGGGGCTTACTATATGAAAATTGTTGTATTGTAAATATTTGATATCCACTTGTCCGTACAGCTGTTAGTGAGGTGATTATGTTTTAATTATTAGCAGTTGGAAAAAATTAAATTTCAATATAAAGCTTAAATTTGAATTATTAAACTGCTATTAGGGCCACCGCCACAAGAAGTAGTCCTACGGCAACAACCAAAAACAGGAGAAAACGAAAACTGTCTTCACGAGTTTCGTCTCAGACACAAGCATGCTTGGCATACACAGTTTTGGTTACGAACTGCTCATTTGCTAATAACTTTGCACACAGTTGACGGAATATAGTTCTTTTTGTAGCAGTAGATAGAATAGAGTGTAAGCTTGTTATAGATATGTAAAAAAAAAGTAGATTTTAATGCTAGTAGTAAACTGTATTTGGTTTTGCGTTGTAAAATGAGGTGAGAAATGCTCACTACACATCTCAGAATTTAAGTGTTAAATTGATTAGTGTTGATTCAAATGTTAAGCTTTACCTGATCTTCGCATATGTATAGTAAACTATGAGCCTAATCTATCAATTACTTTAAAGAAAAACTACAAGGGACAGCCCTATGGGGTTGTACGCAATGGTGACGTAGGACTGCGTGGTCTTATATAATAAATGTTATTTGTTAACTGCAGTAGGAGCTGGTGTTTTGTGTAGGAATAGGAATTTGAGCGGGGTTCTCTCTGTTAATACTCTTTAGTATGACTATGATTGCCCTGAAAAGAACCTTTTGAAATGAATTTTAGTTGGGACATGTTCAGAAATTTAACTCTTTTGGAAAATCTTGGTGGCCCTGAAAAGGCCGATGGTAGTACAGGCTTAAAGCCTTTGGAAGATGATGATGACGTGTAAGCAGCTGGATCAGCAACAAATCGGACCGGACAATCCCATATTCTTCGGTTCAATGATTGGGCACTCGCAAGAGCCTCGGCCCGTCTGCTGCTGGACAGGGGTTGAACTGGTGTCTGCGACAGGTTGGAAGGCCGCAGAATATCAGTGTCCACCCAGCTAAAGCTCCTCCCCTTTTTAGTTTTTCTCGTTAAACTTCTTCTCTCAACAAGTTGGTAAATCTTAGCCTTAAGCAGAAAGACACTTAACATTTTTTTCGGCGAATTTATGATCCTGTTTCACGTCATGGTTCTTATCTATGCCTGTTCAGATAAATTAGTACTTATGTTTATTTTCTCTACTACGCTGAATCAAACGAGTAGAAATAAGAAGGGATGTCGAAAAATTCGATAAATATTGAATCGAATAGCTGGAAAAATCTATAATTGAATAATTGGACTTTTAGGTATCCCTAGAAAATAGTGTAATTTCATGTTTTTTGCGGTCCTTCGTTAATGTCGAACAGCAGAATTGCAACCAAAAGCGGTGCGATGCAAGTTTCCATTGCTATGACCACGACTGAATTTAGGGGCTTAGAAGCAGAGGGGTGAAAGTAAATTCTCTTCATAGATTTCCTCTTTTGGTGACCATGGCTTCACACTATTTCTGCTGTGCTCTTCTATCATCCAAAGCAACAAACGTATCAATGAATGTGTTTGCCGTCGAGTTATTAACGAAACAGAAAGTCGATGAAGAGAATCGATCAAAATCACCCGCACCCCTGCTTCCAAGTTGGCTCCAACTCTGGAGAGCATTTTGTGTGGTCGTTGGCGGCGTGTGGTTCTGAATATGGCGATGAGTTTGCAAAATATTACGCAATTACATCCTCCCTTTTCGCACACGCCCGAAGATCGGAGGCGAATGCCACTTCGACTTGTTTTGTCTACTAACGATTCTCTGATGACAGTGTGGGGAAGTAGCATTGCTACATTGACATGTTTCGTCTAGAAACGA